GCGCTCCCCGCCCCACGCGACACGTGAGCTCCCCGCCCCCCAGGCGCGCTCCCCGCCCCACACGCATGCTCCCGGCCCACACACGTGTGCTGCACGCTCTCCACTGTCAGCTCGTTCAGCTGCAGCTCCCCAGGCTCCAGCAGCTCCCCCTCCTCCAGCAGGGACTCGTCAAAGGTGACGCAGGGGGGGACATCAGGTGCAGAGCTGGGGCGACAGCAGCCGTTCAGTGCACCGGCCGGCCAGGGCCGCCGGGGCGGGGCAGCAGGGCCAGCAGGGCTGGCCGGGGCCGGGGGCCTTACCCGTGTTGCCGCAGGAAGCCCTGGTACTCGGCCTCCGGCTGGATGCGGGCGGCAGCGGCGGCCATCTCCTGGTGAATGGCCACCACCTCGTCCTGCACCAGGCTGCTGATCTCCAGGTATTCCTGCAAGATCTCCTTCCTGCCCCAGACAGGACCCTGGTCAGGGCCCCGGGGCTGGGCAGCTAGGGGCCCCCACACCATGGGCTTGTGGCTGTCCCGCACTTGGCCACCCCACCTCAGGCTTGCTCAGCCAGAGGACCTCATGCCAATGCTGAACGCACCCTGATCTCCACCCTCTGGCCTGTAAGTGGGGAGCGAGTGGCCATGGTCCCACCTGGCCCCGCAGCCGGCCAGCGCCGGGCTGGGAACCGCTGCCCGGCCACGCGTTTGTGCGTCCAGCCCCCACACCTCCAGCCTGGCGTCTGCCCAGCGGCTCAGGCCCCCTGGACGTCTCCCCGACACCCCAGCTCCAGAGCTCGCCCCAGCCGCTCTCCCGGGCCTCCCTGCTCCGTCTCGCAGCCGCTCCAGGCCCAACCTTGGAGCGACGCGCTGTGAGCGCCCCCTCACCCCACTCCCAGCCCCCCGGGAACCCCACCTTCTCCGCCAGCAGGACAGCCGACGGGGCCTCTGCCTGCAGCGGCCGGCGCCTGGCCCCGGGCCACGCTCTGGTCTGCACTTCCAAATGCCCCCACCCCCTGGCAGTCAGAACCAGAGCTCCCCACACAGGGGCCCGGGCGTGGCCGGGCTTCCGTGACGCTCCCAAGGCCTCTGCCGGGCACGAGCAGCCCGCGGACTCCCCGGCCCGCCCCGCCCACCTCTCTGGCCGTGGTGGCCTTCCAGACGCCCGGTGGCTGCCGTGGGCCGGGCGTCCTTCCCCGGCGGCCCAGCCCTTTGCCCGTCCCGCTTGCACTACGGCCGCGAACCGCCCCTCTGGCTCCGGCCTTGCTTCTCCACCATCCCCGAGATGTGGCTCCTCAGGATGTCCAGGGTGGGTGTCCGTCCCCCTTCTCGCTCGGGCTCCTGAGGCCAGGGACAGACGTCAGCGGTGGCCGGGCCGGGGGGCGGGGCGAGCGGGCGGCGCTTACCGAGGAGGACGTGGAGTGGCGGTCATCCTGCAGCAGCGGCACGGGTGGGGCCTCGCCGGGGCCCAGCAGGGCCACCTTGGCCTGCAGCAGCTCCTGCTGGGCCTGCAGCTTGGCCTGGCTGCACAGCGCCACCTGCAGCGCCTGCAGCGCCTCCTGCAGCGCCTGCTTCTTGGCCAGCAGCTGCACTCTGGGGGGTCGGGGGGCGGTGAGGTGCGGTCGGTGGAGGGAGGCGGGGCTGACCGAGACCGCTGGGGCGCGGCCACTCACCGCTCCCGGGGGTGGGTGTTCTGCTCTTCGCTCTGCAGCTCCTGCTGCAGCTGAGAAACCGCTTCCTGCCGGCCCATCACGGCCTCGGTGGCCACGGCCAGCTCCTCGGTCACCGAGGACAGCCTGCGCCCACGGGAAGGGCGGTGAGGCCACCGTCTGGCTCCCCAGGCGGCCCAGCGTCCTGTGGTGGAAGGTGCCCGCAGCCCGCCCGCCCCGCACACAGGTGCTGCCTGCTCCCTGCCCCGCCCAGCACGCG